TAATCGAAAAATATGTGAAAACACATACTTTAGAGCTTTCAAAAAAAGAAAAGAAAAAGCCAAAACTGAAAGTTTTGCAAGAACTTTAGCTTTGACTAACAAACTACAAACAAGAAGTTGTAAGTAATAAGTCTGCGAAAATGTTGGCATTACAAAAATAATATAAATAATAACATAAATTTATTATAAATATATTCTCTTTCACATTTCATGAAGTTTGAGTAGGCGAGCTTTTAATCGCTAAGTACTTTCTGAACTTTAAATTTACATTATTAATTGTTTACGTAATTGTTTCCACAGGGTCACGTGCACGTCCCTGGTATGCCATTCGACTTCGAGTACGCCGTCAATGATGTTGAGACCGCCAACGATTATGCCCACAAAGCTTCTAGCAACGGTGATGTGGTGACCGGTGAGTATCGCGTTGCACTGCCCGATGGTCGCACACAGATCGTACGCTATACAGCCGACTGGAAGACTGGCTATCATGCGGATGTCAGCTACGAGGGTGAGCCACAATTTCCACAGGGTCCCGGCGGCCGGCCCGGCTACAAATACTAAGGCAGCAYACGCCGAATGATGTTGGAGCGCCGGAAGCACACTCTTGCACGCACGCACACAAGCAAACACTCACTCACTTGCTCACACACACACACGCCTAACTGCAATTAAGGCTACAGCAACTGCCACAACAACAATAAACTACCACTGCCCCACATGAAGAAGAGACAACGATAAGGCGATGAATTTTTTTTGGAAAACGAGATGTAAATTTTTGTTTTGTTTAAATCTATCGAATTTTTATTATTAGTATAATTTTGAATAAGRTTTTAGTATTGAAAATTTTGAATATGTTTTTTAACTAATATATACCGAGTAGTTCTCATATATTTTTCGAAAAGAATGRAAAATAATATTCATTTTAACTTTTTTCGTATGCAGTATTTCAAAYGTTCAAACTCTTTACGAATAAATAAAAAGACAGAAAATGAAACGAAGAAGCATATCATTTCTTATTTTTCAACAGTTTTAAAACACAATGAAGCCAGTGAAAGCTGGAACATATTACTTCGCATAAGAATTTTTTTCGAAATGAATATTATAAAAATATGACTACTCAACAACAATGCAATAGCAKAAAATTATAAAGGTAGGTACTAAACACTTGGTGCCAGGACCGGACTATGAGAATGCATAAGAACTTCCAACCTTTGAAGCTCTGTCGACTCACTATTAAGACTTGTCGCCTAGCATTTTCATGGTGAAACATTATTCCTCTTCTCATATCTTCTCATATTTTTTATAGCCAAATCCATAACACTAAAGAAAAAATATGTGAAAAATCGGTTGTATATAGATATTAGCAGGGAATGACTAAGTGCAAGCTACTTCCCTATGATCAAACTCTTAATTTCAATCTATCTTCTTATTTCTTATTAGCGTAGACACCGCTTACGCGATTAYAGTCGAGTTTRCAACAGCGCGCCAGTCTTTCTTCCGTTTCTCTGTTTGRCGTCAATCGGAGATTCCAAATGTAGCCAGGTCCTTCTCCCCCTGGTCTTTCCAACAGAGTGGAGGACTTCCTCTTCTTCCCCCGGTKKATACTCTCAGAGCTTTAGTGTTTTTATTCATTCGGACGGCATGACCTAGTCAACGTAGCCGCTGTTTATTAATTCGCTGAACTATATCAATGTCATCGAATATCTCGTACAGCTCATCGTTCCATCGACTGCGGTATTCACTGTTGGCAATGCGCAAAAGGCCATAAATCTTCCTCAGAAACTTTCCCTCGAAAACTCGTAATCATCAGCTGTGTATTCCATGTGATCAGTGACTTGTAGAGTTTGGTCTTTGTTCCTGGAAAGCGGACAGTACTTCTCAATTACCTACTCAGTCCGAAGTAGCGGTTGTTGGCAAGGGTTATGCTGTGTTGGATTTCGCGGCTTTTGTTTGGTGACAGAAGATATTTCGTCTTGGCCTTGTTCACTACCAGACCCATTTGCTTCGCTTCCTTATCCAGTCCGGAAAAAGCAGAACCAACGATACGGTTGTTGAGACCAATGATATCAATATCCCGCCGTATCGTATTTCTTGAAAGGCTTTGATGTCAGTCTTTGCTCTTACGCGGACATCAACAATGGGCGTCGGCACATTTCCAATTTAGGGACCGGGCATTCTATGTATATGCCCYTAAATCATAATCCCTATTAACTTTGCTGTGGTCGTCATCAAAAGTGGGGTTTTTCATCCGAAGCTATTGTTTCCTTTTCATTGGGAGTGGCTTCTACGTGGCCGATACCAAATCCAGCGCACAAACTCTTTACAGCTTTATATACAGACAGACRCTGCAGTTAGACTTCAACGAGCCCTTAAACCAAATATGTCGGAAGGCTCCGCTGAAGCTTTCTCTCTTTTAGTCGTAACTCCATGCTTCACATGGGTTGGCTCACCGCATCTTACAMAAGGGKTACTCACGTTTCCAGGGTGCGCCAGAATAGGAATGGAGTATAGTTCTATAACTGTAACTACTTACCTAGAAGCATCATAACTATATATACCTAGCACACTACTTAGTATTGGCAAAATATAGGTTTTAGACGAATAACGTGGCASTGATCCCATAACGCYCATCTACGAACTCGTCCYCCCTTTTTTKGCCAAGGAACATCTGTACCAAATTTCATTAGGATATTAATATTATATATCTTGGTTGAAATCGGTCGACAATTTCCAGGTTCTATCAATAAATGTCAACTTTTATGATTTCAACGTTTTAGCCAAACATTCTATCTAAGAATCAACAGTATGGGTATTGAGTCAAAATTTAATTATTTAAGAGTKCCGAACTTGTATTGAAAGACGTCAAGAATATTTTTAATCGTACKTGAATGCAGTGCAAAAACTACCATAAGTACTTTTTTTTGAAAGCTCTCAAGTATTTTTTCTAAATTATCATTGAGTGAGACATACTTTAGTGAAAGCTTTTATTATTATTATTATTTTTTAAACTCACACACAGTTATTTTGTATTTTGTTTCAATTTAAATTCAAGAGAAAGCTAAGTGAACTTTTTATATACACTCTCGATGAAGTTTGTAACCACATACTATCAAAATGTGCGTATCTAACATCCAATTAATAAAAAGCTTGATTTCTGAGACTTGATTCACCTTTCTCTACTGATCATCCCTTTAAATAGTATTTGCTATCCTTTTATTTTKTTTTWYTYTTACTTTTACTTTTAATGAGTTTCTGTGTTGCAGCTGTACTTGAAGTTTTAGACGCTAAAGCTTTTGTTTATTGGGTTTTTTTACTTTCCGTCTTTGCTGCTTATTTTCACTTCGGCGCGACTCCCACGTGGTCACATAATTTACGACTTTGTTACCAATAAAAATTGTCTGCGGCTAAATGAAGGTGAAGCGCATCTTAGTGAAAGATACTTTAAGGATTTCGACGATTATATTTTTCTAAAGAACAACTTTCTGCTGTAAATATTGCTATCTCCAAAATAGCAGACAATGTTCAATGAATTATAGATGACTACAAACGTAAAATTTAACAAGTTTTTCAATACGGACGCTACAAAAGTAGACCGGTAAGAACAACTAACGACGCCATATTTTTCCCGMTATTTTGACATTTCTCCTCAGTAAGGTTCGAAAAGATCTAGGCCTTCATTCTTTAAAGATCAAATTGACTTAGGAACTGAAGCGGCTTGACCGCCAGAATTGCCGTATGTTCATGAATTTCCCTCAACAAAAACTTGAAAATTATTTTGATTTTAAGGCTTATTTCTGGCTGAATGGCTTCGYAAGTAAGCAAAATATGCGTTAYTGATCAAGCAGCAAACCAGCWGCATTGGTGCGATTAATGGGCCAGCGGCGTCGTTCGGCCGTACTTCTACTAAGATGATCAAGACTGGCACGTTACTGTGAATGCGAATCGCTACCGCTCAATGATACCRGAATATTTTTGACYCAAATTGGATGATATGGACTTGGAMAATTTGTGATTCCGMCTCGGTCGTGCGATTTGACGCCGTCAGACTMTTTCCTGTGAAGCTACGTCAAGTATGTCAAGTCAATGGTCTATGCCAACAAGCCAGCGACGATTGCTGAACTTTGTACGAATATCGAACGGGAAATTGCAGCAGTATCGGCCGATTTATCCCTGAAAACCGTCGAAAAATGGGTTCCGCGTCTGGACTTCTACAAGCGAGCCTATGGTAGCCATGCAAAAGAAATCGACTTCAATACATAATGCCATCGAATGTACTTTTACACGAATAAAGAATTTCATTCATCTCTCAAGTCGTTTTTTGTTTATTAATAAACTTTTGTAGCGCTATTATTGAAAAACTATAACACGTTTTTCGTACTACTTCACTAGGTGTCATGTTTTCCAATTAATATGATCAATTTAGACCTGAGGTAACCTTGATCCTTTGGCCAGCCAGCAAACCTACAATATCACCGCTATCGGTTATAATTTGAGGAAATTAGTCTTCAAGGATCGAATATCAGACAAACAACCTAAGAGGCCTTTGAAAGAGCAATGTAGTATATAGTGCCTCCTCTCCTTCGATCATAAAAAATGGTGTAACAAATTTAAACGTCCCTGTACGTCGGTTTCTGATGAACCACGCTCAGGCGCTCCGAAAACCACAAACACAAAATCCATAATTTCTTATTATTAGACCGCCATTTGAAGATGCACAAGAGAGTTTAGTTAATGGATATTTCCAAAGGYACCGTGGGTTATATGCGGTTCGAAATATCTCACATCCAATATTTCACTAACAATTTATGCGCCTTGGGTTCCTTGTTTGCTCACTTCGAACAACAAGCACTATTGACCACATTGCAACAGCGTTTGACGCGGTTTAACCCGAAGGAGTTTCTGCGTAGTGTCGTGACCCTCCACGAAACATAATTCCCTAATTCCATGGTGTACCTTATAAGGCAACAAACAGTCGAAAAAGTGAGCTTGAACCGGCAAACTTGCTCCAAATGTGACGTAGTCGGTCTTATCGTCCGAAAAAAGAATGACCAACACTTTCCAGTATTCACAACATGACATTCAYTTCGATTACCTAGCGATGAGCGAAACGGTCAAAGGCAAAAAAAAACGATACTATTTGTAGAAGGAAAAGTAAATTCCCATCACAAGACCTCAGGGAACCCACGACTGTCGACGGTACTGCCACATTAAACTACGAAACACTTTCTGGTCTCGCCATTCTGCATTTTTAGTCTCATCTAAATGTAAACTCAATAAAGCCACGTGCAGAAAACGTATTCTTCGGACGGGTTAAAAAAGTTGAGGCATCGCTGGGTTACGTGTATTGAGCTAAATGGAGGCTCTACTGAGATTACCGGACCGGACCGGATTCCAAATATTTCATTTATTTTTGTAGTCTAAATACTTATCTGAAATACTGTGTGTCTTCTGAGATAAAGTATGAAAAAGTAACAGCTAAACAATGTAACAGCCATGGCGACGAGTCAAGCAGAGCTTCTTTAGCACTTTTTGAATGTGCCTAATCGACGAAACACCTCTCTAAATAGACCTAGAACAACAACTACAACTATATATATGTCAATATCTAGCCAGATACAAGCTATTTCTTTTCTTACGAAAATTATTCCTTATTTTTTTGGAAAATATTTCCCGCAGTGGTAGCAAACGCCATAATTTTTACTTAACTCCTATTTGAAATAATTTTAAAATATTTTTACCACGTTCCGAACGACGCCCTATCACGAAATTTAGGCTAATTTTAGCAAAATTTTACAACACAATATGATACTTGTCAACCTTAAGGAACATTAAAGCTGATATACTTGAAATCTGCCGGTGCGACTCTGATTTAGCGCCATCATCATTTGGGAAATTTATGAWATTATCACAGCTGACTTAGACACTGCAAACAAAACAATAAAAACAAAAAAAATTTAAATAAATTGAGTCTGAAAAAGAGACAGGCAGAAATGCGTGAGTCCGCAGAGCTTGGCAAGCTGGCCTACAGGGGTAATGCTCGCAAGTTCTACGAAAAGATGCGGCGACTAACAAAAGGTTTCAATACCGGAGCATACACTTGTAGAACGCTCAGGAATGATCTGGTGACTGATTCCCTGAGCATACTAAAATTATGGAATATACTTCTCCAGCCTTCTGAATGGCAATGGAAACATAACACCAGGAGATGATGACTTTTATTCCCCAATCGATGATGAATAAGGAAGCGAAGCAAATGGGTCTGGTGATCAGCGAAGGCAAGACAAGTCAGCGAATTAAGCGACAGCCGATACGCTGGCTAGGTAATGTCGGCCGTATGGTTGTAAACACTCCAGCTCTGAAAGTATTTAAGGTAGTACCAGCTGTTGGAAGCAGAGGAAGAAGGATACCTTCAATCTGAATTCACCCGCCAATGGACTTCTCATACCCACGAATATGTTTATTATTTCTATTCAGACAGTCTGGATGAGTGAGTAGATTACATATTGTCACCTAAAATGCAAAATAACGTAACAACATTTTCCGAAATTTACAGAGGGAATGAAACACATAATATAATGTAAAATGAGTGAAACAAAAATTAAATAATGGTTAAAATTGTTTTATATCTGAAGCAGAACCTTAAAATGTTGGCCATGTGTTCTGATATGAAATACTTAACTTCGAATTTTTTAATTACGATATAATCTATGCACCTTTAATATTTGATTGTAACATGGCATTAAAAGGCTTGTAAGCAAATAAGGGTTAATAGCTTACATAGCGACATCTGCCGTATGCTAGCTCAATACAACAGCGCGGGTAATGGCACTTTGTASCGGTGCTGGCATATGATAAAAATAATAACAATGACAACAACACAACAACACAACAAGCCATATGTGCTAACATCAGAAGTATGAAAATCACGACAATTTAAATAAAACATCTGTTTCTTATATTCAAATATATTGTTATTTATTTTCTCTTAAATATTTTCGTTCAATTATTCAATAATATATAACATTCTGGTAGAACATAAAATTTTAACGCAACAGCATTAACATTTGGACTTTTTTAGAGGAATTTTTTCAATAAGATTTTTTTATTTGTAGCTTTTGTCTTCTTTTACATAATAATAGTTA